CCTGATTTTTTTGATTTATTGTAGAGATGAGGTCTCCCTGCCCAGGCGGGTCTCGAACCCGCGGGCTCAGGCCATCCACTCACCTCAGCCTCCCAAAGGTGCGGGATTACAGGCTGAGCCACCAAGCCCGGCTGTGTCATTTCTTAATTGACTCTTCACTCTAAGAAAAACATGCTTTGCTTATCGCAGCATTGTTCATAATAACAAAAATATGGAACCAACTGTGCTGCCCATTGAAAGAGGACTTGATTTTAAAAATGTGGTATATATACATGATGGAATATTACACAGCCATAAAGAAGGATAAAATAAGAACTTTGCAGCACCTTGGATGGTCTTAGAAGTTATAATACTAAGTGGTCTATCACAGAAACAAAGAACCGAGTATCACGTGTTCTCACTCATAAGCAGACCTTGAACAATTATCATGGTACTATAAGAAAAGGATTGGCAGTAGTGGGAATCTGCTGGAGGGGGCACACCTCATCAACAAGGGTACCTGCATAATGAACATTTGTATACCTAACCTGAATTGAGCCCTGCATCTTGAAAATTAAAAATTAAAAAAAAGAAAAAGGAAAAGTATGCTTAACTGAAACTTAGAAGTCAACTTTGAAACACAGTTTCTATGATTCATGCATCTCTGCATTTTTCTTACTTCTTTTAAGACCTGTTGCCTTTCCTGTCCATTTACTTCAGTAAAGACATAATTTCTTAGTTAACTTTAACAACAACAGTAATGTTGGCTATAAAACATACATAAAACGGATTATAACTTTCCCAATAAATTTTGACACTGTCCGTTTTTCAAAGAATATGTTTATCTTTTTAACTAAGGCAGGTTTAAATTTTTATTCTTTATATTGAGGAAATTATGTGGAGTCACTTAGAATTGGAGAAGGAGAAGAAGTATTGGGACATATATATATATATATACAGGCTCCAAGTTCATTCTGGCATCACTCAAGAATTGATTGTAAATGCGCTTTTATAAGATTCTCTGCATATAAGAGAATGGTAGGATGTATATCAGTCTGTAAACATTAATTACTAGTTGGGGAAGATGAGACTATAAGATTAAAAATTGTGCATGACCTAATATTAACTGAAAATATAAATTATAAACTTTATGACAGTATTGTAAATATACATATGATATAAATATGATGAAATTGAGTATGCTATTGACAAGGAACAGATGGTGACATGAATAAATGACAATTTATTTGAGAAAGAAAGAAAGTTTTGGAAAAAAAGTTCTTTGGTTAAAACAAACCAATACACTTGTCAGTTCTTCACTTTTAAAATAACTCTGTGCTTGTGTACTTCCTTGCCAGGGAAACTAATCTGAAATTAGTTTTTGAGTGAGGTTTCATGGTCATCCTGAGCAGAATTATTAAAAAAACTGAATGTGCTCCCCCCACCACGTCCTTTGGGAGCATTCCTATATGTAAGCTTTAACACAATTGTTAGCATTTAACTTGATATTATACGATAAGTTTGAATTTTTTGACTTTGTTAATATATTTGCAAGATAACATGGACATTTTATAGTCTTATAAGTAATCAGTTTGGGCATGGTCAGGCTTTTCCATCAGGGAATCCCACTGTGGTGGAATTGAGGGAGCAATGGGCTAGGATATTTTGGCCTCTATTCGCTCAACTCAAATAAGGTGGTTGGGCCTGGCGCAGTGGCTCACGCCTATGATCCCAGCACTTTGGGAGGCCATGGAGAGAGGACTGACTGAGCCCATGGGTTCAAGACCTGCCTGGGCAACTTGGCGAGACCTCGTCTCTATAATAAATCAAGAAAAAAACTAGCTGGGTGTGATGGAGCATGCCTGTAGTTCCAGCTACTTGGAAGGCTGTGGCAAAAGGATTGCTTGAATCCAGCAGTTAGAGGCCACAGTGGCTGTGAGCATGCCACTGCACTACAGCCTGGGCACCAGAGTGAGACTTTTTGACTGAAAAAGAAAATAGAAAAAATAAAAAATAAGTGAGATGGTTGAGTTAGAACGAGTGGTTTATCAGAAGCATGTCTTTGAACAGGCAAAATCCCTTACTCTTATCTCCCCACCCACCCATCCCATCGGATAGAGACTAACTAAGTAGGTCTGGAATGGGGCCTAGGAATCTGCAAGATGATTTGAATGTAGGTGGTCTGAAAATTATATTTTTTTAGAAGTCATCCACAGAATCCCTTCTACCTGCATTATTCTATGATGAAAAGAATTTTACCTAACTCACCAAAGTTTCACTCATCTCCCGTAGGTCCTTAAGTTGGTGTGTGTTACTTTGTCCAGAATTGCTATCGGTCCGTAAATTGGAGATTTTAAAGGTGCCATGATAGTACTCTATTTTCTCACCTGTGATGAAGATTAAAAGTAGAAAAATCAAGTGATTTGGGCAATGATTTTAGGATCCAGGACCCACATATAATGAAACTAATATAAGTCGAATATATCACTGAGCTTCTAATTGAGTTTCATTAGAAATAATATAAATAAAATTAATGTTTTATATTAATAATAATAGCTGTTATTTATTGAGTGCCTACTATGTGCCGGGCACTCTTTAGTGGACTTTTCATGTATTAACTCATTTGGTCCTCAAGCCCGTTCTCTAAGCTTGGCATCACCTCCATTTTACAGATGAGGAAAGCAAGGCACTGAGGCATTAAGTGCCTTGTTCTGTGTTATACAGCTAGTAGGTGGTCATTCAATTTTAAGCCCAGACAGTCTAGCTCTAGAAGTTGAACATTTCATTGCTACATTGCCCCTTGCTGAGTTGTAATGTATATAGCCATCTACTCTACTGAAAGTAGAGGTAAATGAAACTCCTTGTAAATTTTGGTCTGTAGTGGAAGAGTCAGGCCCACTAACAAAAACCTGGAAAGGAAGGCTGGAAGAGCTGTCTGAGGATGAAGGTGAGAATAGTGTGTAACAAGGATAAGTCAAACAGATCTCTTGCTGGCTACCAGGAAAGTAAGAAAAGAGAGCAGTGGAGACTCCTAGGGAATTTGGTAGTCTGAGGAGAAAGGTTCAGAAGGGACAAGAAAACTGTGAGCTAAAGAAAGAGAATAGAAAAACCACAAAACAACCTCCATCCCTGGGAAGTCTGGCTCAAGAAGGAAGCAATGGTTTTCCTGACTATGGATCCTGGAAAGGAAGAGGGATCTCAGAAAGATGTATCCCTTAAGTGGTATATATCCAGACCATGTAATGCTTTTTGGTCCTCCTGATTACTTATCTTGTAAACCATACTGTTATCAAACCTTACTACACAGTAAAGGGGCTTTTGTGCAACTAAAGTTGAGAATCTTTTACCACTAGCAAAACCTACAGCTGGAGCTACTATATGGAGCCTAAGACCATTGCCCTAAACCTGTTAAAGTTCCTAATAGGATCTTCAGCCCCCTATCAAGTCTGTGGAAGGTGACAACAGGTAAGACCATTCAAATAAGCAGCCTGAGCTAGTTGTTTTATCACATACATTCATGTGAAACTGACACTGTAGAGATTTGTCAAAAAATATAAATGACTTGTACCCTGCCCAGAAAGAGACGCAATATAAAAAGAGAGCATTCTGAAGGGCATTATTTGTGTGATTATAAATATATTAGCCAGTAAAAATAGAATTGCTGAATATTGTTTTGGGAAGAACAAAACTTAAAAATTGAGTGATGATATTGTGTCATACTTGTAGATTATCAGGCATTCCTTATTTCATTAGACATGTGCTTTTTCTTTTGTCCTAGAAATACTGGTAGCCGGGCTCGGTGACTCAGCCTGTAATCCTGCGCCTTTCGGAGGCTGAGGTGAGTGGATTGCCTGAGCCTGCGGGTTCGAGACCCGCCT